CATCGTGGATTCGGCCTCTTCCCAAGCCAGATGCAGTGAAAGAAGAGTGGGAAGAATTCATGATCAGTTGTGCAGAAGTCACTTAAGTGATGCGGCACGTTTGTAGCAAGCAAGGGACAACATGGAAAAGCTAACTGTGCTACAGCGCCAGTGGCCCAGTGGTAGAATTGCTAATGGTCCCTGCCATTCGACCCTTCTGCCGACTCTGCCCGCGCCACTGAGTAGATAGCCAGCTCCCCTGGCTGCCTTCCAAGAGGTGGTCAGGGATGATACAGTGTACAGAAAAATAGCATTAGGAACAGCGGCGTTTCACCCTCATGTTTCACATAGTTCATGGGGCCTGCGTGATAGTCCGCACTCCGAAGCACTAGTATATCCATGGCTGCTGCGGTATCTCCTTCAGCACAGCTCTGCGCCACGCCTGATTTCAGGTAGGTGCTCTGATCGAAATGAATGGTACAGCTCAAGCCAAAGACACGAGCTGACTGGAATTTTGTCTCGATGATGTGAAGAGTTCTTGACATTGTATTGGTCACCCTGAACCCTTGCACTTTGCTGTTGGTGCGAACGCATTCTTTGATATTACACCACCGTAGACCCCAAACAGTTTGTGTTTTTCAAAATCGAAACTAGAGCTTGCGACGTCCAGAGCTGGGAGATAAATGTAAAGGATTGCAAGGCAGAGACGGACACAGCAGTACAGAGCGGGGGGACACATCTTAAGAAAGAAGTGAGAAGCCCTAACAGTAAACCTTTTGGGGAATTATTCTTCAAGCGCGAACATGATGCTGGTCATGCTGCTCAGTCAGCGGGGAGCTGACCACGTGAGGACAAGAAACAAAAGCATGAGGAGCGAAGGATGTGACATGAAATTGATTTTTGGTGCCTGACATGTGCCCTCCGCCCCAACTGAATAGAGAGATCGCTGCCACGCCGCCGAAATCCAATCCGGTCATTCATCCAACGGTTGCCCGAAAAGGAAAACAAAGCTGAGAGAGTTACACAGTGTGGCAGGAATGCAACCCCGGAGACAGTCACGCACCCCTTGCAAAGGAGCAAGAACCTTTCACAGGCGAACCTGTTCCAGCGGACAGGGCAGAAAACAGCAGTGCAGGCACCAAACCTGAAAGACAAAAAGAAAGAAATCACATGGGAGACAAATGAATAGAAATGCTACATGGCCAGCGGAAAAGGGCGGCAGCACCAGTGACAGACCCGGGAAACAAATTAATAGAAATGCTGCATGCCCAGCGGAAAAGGGCGGATACCAACAGTGACAGACCTGGGAGACTAATGAATAGACATGCTGCATGGCCGACGAAAAGGGCGGACGCCAGCAGTGACAGACCTGGGAGACAAAACACTGGCAGTGACAGACCTGGGAGACAAATGAATAGAAATGCTACATGGCCAACGGACGGACACCAACAGTGACAGACCTGGGAGACAAATGAATAGAAACAGCGGAAAAGGGCGGACACCACCAGTGACAAGCCTGGGGGACAAATGAATAGAAATGCTGCGTGGCCAGCGGAAAAGGGCTGAAATTAGCAGTGACAAAGACAAATGAATAGAAATGCTACATGGCACCAGCAGTGACGGACCTGGGAGACAAATGAAGCATTTCTGGGAGATAAATGAAAAGAACCGGGAGACAAATGAAAGCAAGTGGGAGACAAGCGGGCCGGGAACCCGACCACAAGCACCCAGCCTGGGAGACAAATGAAAA